CCGGTGCTCTATCCACTGCAGCGCCACCTAGCTGCCCTCCGTTTTAATACTTTTACCCGCTAGGTTGGAACTAGGGTAGCAGAAGCAGGAAAGCAGGGAGTGAGCAGTCACTTTCACCTGAAAAGCGAAAGGCGAAGAAAGGTGAGGCCGGACATTTTTTTGGGGACAAACGCAGGTTTTGACTTCCATCTAGTGGCCAGAGGGGATATTGCCGCTTGTGGGAAGGTGGAGGGACGATGGAGGAGTCAGCCAGCTGAGTCAATAAACCGACAAATGTTTGTTAAGCGCTTCCTCGGTGGCAGGCACCGTGCTAAGAATGAGGGACACAAATAGCATCTTCTGATCTTATGAATCTTACATTATTTTTAAAAAGTTGTTCAGCTTTTACTTTTTTCTAATTAAAATTTCTAATTAAAAACAATTTTTAACATTCATTTAAAAAAATTTTGAGTTTCTTGGAAAGACTTGTATGATCTGATGCTGAGTGAAGTGAGCAGAACCAGGAGAACGTTGCACACAGTAACAGCCACGCTGTGGGATGACTAATATCGACAGACTTAACCCTTCTCAGCAATACAAGGATGTAAGACCTCTCGAAAGGCCTCTTGATGGAAAATGCTATCCACATCCAAAGAAAGAACTACGGAGTTTGAATGCAGATCGAAGCATACTATTTGCCGTTTTTTTTCTTCTGTTGTGTCTTGTTTCCTCTTTCTGGTGGTTCCTTCTATTGATTCTAATTCTTACAACATCACTAATGTGAAAATATGTTCAATAGGAATGTATATGTAGAGCTTATATCAGATTGTGTGCCATCTTGGGGAGGGAGGTGTGGAGGGAGGGGGAGAAAAATTTAAAACTCAAAAGCTTATGAAAGTGATTGTCAATAAATCAAAATAAATTAATTCATAAAAAAATTCTTCAAAAAATTTTTTTGAGTTTCAAATTCTCTCCCTTCCAACCCCCACTCCTTGAGAAGGTAAGCAATTTGATATAGATTATATAATGTGCAGTCATGCAAAACATATTTCCATATTAGCCATGTTGAGAAAGAAAACAGACCCACAAAAAATCCCACAAAAAACAAGAAAAATAAAGTAAAAAATCCTATATTTGGTATGCACCCAGACTCCATCAGTTCTTTCTCTGGAGGTGGAGAGCATTTTCCATCATGAGTCTTTTGGAATTTCCTTCGATTGTGTTGCTGAGAAGAGCTAAGTCAATCAGTTGATGATCTTACAGTATGGCTGTTACTGTGTACAACGTTCTCCTGGTTCTGCTCATTTCACTCAGCATCAGTTCACTTAAGTCTTTCCAGGTTTTTCTGAAGTCCACCTACTCATCATTTCTCATAGCACAATAGTATTCCAGTACATTCATATACCACAACTTGTCCAGCCATTCCCCTATTGATGGGCATCCCCTCCATTTCCAATTCTTTGCCACCACAAAAAGAGCTGCTATAAATATTTTTGTAGAAATAGGTCTTTTTCCTTTTTTCAAATCTTACATTCTAATGGGATAATATATATATATATATATTTCTTATAAAAGAATATATTTCTAATAAAATAATATATACAACATATACAATATAACAAAATAATATATACAACAATATGTTCCTTACAAAAGAAAGCTATAAAGGGGTGCGAGTGATGGGGATGGCAATCTGAAGAGTGAGGAGCAGAGACAGAAAGGAATGAAAGCGTGACCGTGGCTGGCCTGGGCCCTTCCTTCAAATGGAGGTTCTGGGAGGAGCTGACCAATCAGAGGAAGGGGCCACAGGTGGAGGGTTCTTTCAGAGGGAGAAGGCTGCAGGGACTTTCAGAGTGAGCCCTGGTTTCCAAATTTTATATAGCCATAGCACATCTCCTCACACCTTACGAAAACCATCTACACAAATAACTTAGTTCATGATTTATTCAAATAAAATTAAGAGTGTGTTGTCATTTTTTTTATAACAACACAGAAATTTTAAATATCTAATCAGTCAACAAGCATGTATTAGGTGCTTGCCATATGTGTCAGGCTGTGGGATATGAATGAGAGGGACCTTGAGAGACAGAGCTTTGCAGGCAGAGAGTTTCCCAGGAGTTCTGGGAAATTCACAGACAGCCTGGATTCTTCCTCAGCTGGCAAGGATAAAGCAGTAAGAAGCAGCTGAGAGCGCTTAGCAGAGACAGTGAGCAGTGGGGGAGTTCCTTCCCACAGGGAGCCTTTGAATCCCACTGCAGTGATAGGGGTGGCTGGTTGTGTCCGGTGAGTCTGAGAGCCAGCAAGGAGATGGAGTGGCAGAGAGAAATAGAGACTGAGACAGAGACACAGAGAGAGACAGACAGACAGAGAGGAGACAGGGAGAAGGAGAGACACAGACAGAAAGACAGAGACAGAGAGATAAAGACAGAGACAGAGGCAGAGACAGACAGAGGCAGAGAGAGAGATAGCAACAGAGACACACACACACACAGAGAAGAAACAAAGAGGAGAGAGAGAGAAAGAGGGAGAGGGGGAGAGACACAGAGAGAGAGAGAGAGAAAGACAGAGACAGAGTCAGAAACAGAGACATCTACCTGTTGAGCCACTGCCCCAGCCCCACTGGGGCATTGCATCTATCCCCGTAAGAGAGAATAGGCAAGCTGACTGTGAACTATGGTCCACCTTTCCCTCTATCACCTCTGCCTGAGAAGAGCAGATGATTCAAAAGTTCATTCTGTTCTCTAAAGCTACTTTTCTCACTTCAGTTGAAATAATTTTTACTTCCTTTGCTGGCCAGATAAATCTGAACATTCTAACTTCTCTTGCTGTGTATGTTGCCCTGTTTGAGAACAGGGTGGGGAGGTACAGACAGAAGGAACAGTGTTTGGCTAGTGGTATACAGAGACAAAGAAAATCAGCAGGGGTTGCAGTCCTGTTCCCCTAAAATGCCAAGCTTTCTCCCAGCTGGGGATTCTGAACTAAAAGGGGGAGATGATCATATGATTTGGATTTATTGACTTTTGATAAATTTCCCTGAAAATATAAAATGGACCCAAGGCTTCCCTTCTGCCCCTTAGGCTAAAATGAATCAGAGCATTAAATTTTCTGTCTGGAACATAGCTAGGCTGTCAGGTCACATGACCTTTCATTTACCCTTCCCTTCGTCTTGTAACTCATGTCCAGAAGAAGCACCATTCAGGGACAGAGTCCATGTTGGCAACTACACAGAAGGAACTGCCTGATTGAAAGAGAAAGAATATGGCTGGACTTGGCTGGCAATGCCCCCATTCCAAGGGTGGGAGCCAGAGAAAGGGAGGGCTTTTCCCCTTTCAGTACTACCTCAAGCCTATACACAACAGGTACAGAAGGTTAAGCAAGCCTACTGCCTGCTCTTAAGGAGTTTACATTCTAACGAGGGAGACAATAAATATGCCAGTCATTCTAGAGAAGGAGCAGACATATTTCTACCCGGCAGACTCAGGTATGGCCACCGCCAAGGCCATCTGCTGGCTGGCTAGGGAATGATGCTCCCCCACACCTCTCTATCAGCTCCCTGGTCAAGAAGCAGCCCCAGGAGCTGCCCAACTCCCTTTGCAACAACCCTTGAAGATTCTTCTCATCTTCCACCCATTGCTTCCCCTATGAATTTTCTTGCATCTCTCCCTACTCCCTTACCTATCTATCACCAGCCATTTAGGAGAAAACTGTCCCCAGCCTCCCTTCTCCCATTTTGTTATCCTCATCTTCCTCTACCCTCTACCTATTGTCCTATATTTCTCTTTCCTTTGTCAACCAAACTCCTAGAAAAAGCTGCCTATCCTTCCTCTCCTCTTGCTTATTCCTCAAGGCTGATTTCTGAATGAGGAAATAAGATAAAAAATCCTGGATCTCCTCAATAATTATTAATGTAAGAGAGAAATAATCTTTACTCTCATTCCTTGGTGGAGGTCTTTAAGCAGGTACTTGGTTTAACCCTGCCAAGGTGAGCTGGTGAATGTGGTGGGCAGTATTTGGACCCTGGTCTTCTGATCCATGGGTGGTGCTCTCTCTGTCACACCATAAACTATAGCCCTACCACTAAATTGTCTGCTTCAGGACAATGTCTTATTTACCTTTGTATGCCTCTACCCCATCAAGCACACTACTTAATTTGAACAAATAATAACTCTCATTTCTATCATTCTATAAGTGTTTTTCTCACAACCTTGCATTTTACAGATAGGGAAATTGAGGCAACGGTGAACAAGAAATGTCTGAGCTAGGTTCCACCCTAGGTTTTCTAGCAGCTGGGTGGGGCAGTGGATAGAATGCTGGACTTATAGGTAGGAAAACCTGAGTTCAAATCCTCCCTCAGGATTTACTTATTAGCTGTGTGGCCTTGGGCATCTCATTTCACCTCTAGTAACCTCAGTTTCCTCATCTGTAAAATGGGGATAATAATAACATCTACTTCCCGGGCTTGTTGTGAGGAGCAAGGGATATAATATGCACAAAGCACTTTGCAACCTTCAATAAAGCACTATCTGAATGCTATCATTACCCGGTATAATTATTATTAGTGGGTGGTGGTTGTCCTTCATTCTTGAACAGGACCCAAATGATAACACTTGCCAGCGTCAAGTCGGCTGATCAGACCAATAGGAGCTTGGAATGCTCTGCCACAGTCGGCACAAATAGTCCATGTGAACATTTGGGGTGGGTTCTCTAAATTTGTGCATCTCGAATTTCTTTTGAGCTCCAATTTTGTTTTGCTCATAGAGCATAGCACCTTCTCTGAGGTGGGCATGCCATGCTGGACAGTTCTGTGCCGGTATCTCCTTTGTCTCAAGATCAATCCACCATGTCCCCAGTCAGGGCGGGCCTCCTCCCGCTCCCACCTTGGCCCTGCTCCACCTCGCCCGGCCCCGCCCCGCATCCTCCCGGCTCCGCCTCAATCTGGCCTCTTTCCTCCCCCGAGCCCAGGAGACCGTTTCCGGCCCCTGCCTCAGACAGACCTTCGTTGCCCGCCCGCCCCCCCCCCCCCGGTACTCTGGCCGTCCGGTCGGCCCTGGCCAACCCAGTCCCTCCCGTCAGCCTGCCATGAACGAGCCCCGCGTGCGGCTCATCGTCACCGGAGATGACTTCGGCTACTGTCCGCTGCGCGATCAGGGCCTTGTGGAGGCCTTCCTGGCGGGGGCGCTGACCGGGGTCTCCCTCCTGGTCAATGGCGCGTCTGCGGACACCGCGGCCCAGCTAGCCCGCAGGTGGGAGTGGGGGGAACGGCCAGAATTTGGACGGAGTCTGGACCGGAAGGGGGAGGGAGGAGACGGGGGCGGGGACCCAGGTGTCCGGCCCCGGGCGGGGGCAAGGGGGGGATGGCTGGGGACCCAGGTGTCCGGCCCTGGGTGGGGGCGAGGGGGAATGGCGGAGGGCCTAGGTGTCTGGCTTTGGCAGGGGGGTGAGGAGGGCCCGGAGATAGGGTGGACCCGGGTATCCAGACCGGGGCTGGAGACAAAGGGAGGAGCCGGGGAAAGGGACGCGTCAGGGCCAGGGCGGGGCTGGACAGGGGGCAGGCTCGGGGTTCCTTGAGCGTCTCGATCCTTGCAGGCATGGCATTCCGGCCGGCCTTCACGCCAACCTGAGCGAGGGGCGGCCCGTGAGCCCCAGCCTGGGCTCCAGGGCCTCCCTGATCGGCCCCGGTGGCTTCTTCTTGGGCAAGATGGGCTTCCGCAAGGCGCTGGCCGAGGGCCGGGTAATGTTACCCGAGGTAAGGCCTCCACCCGAGGGGGGAAGGAAGAGGGGGGAGGGGAGAGGAGAAAGGAGGCCCCTCCCCAACCCGGCTCCCCGCTCGGCCGCAGGTGCGGGAGGAACTACGCGCGCAGCTCAGCCGCTTCCAGGACCTGCTGGGCCAGGAGCCCACCCACGTGGACGGCCACCAGCACGTGCACGTGCTCCCAGGTAGGGGTCCCAGGTGAGGTTACTGGGCAGAAGCGTGTGGGCCTGGGGCTTTCCCAGCCCTGGGCTGCTGGGGATTTTGGATCTGGGTGGGACCCCCAGGCCAGCTCGGCTCCCGCAGCGCCCCCCTTTCCCGGTTAGAGCAGAGGCGGGGCTCCAGCTGACCCGTCCCATCCCCAGGTGTGCGCCAGGTGTTTGCGGGGGTGCTGCGGGAGCACGGGGTCCGGTACACCCGGGTGCCGGTGGAGGCCGGCCTGCGCCGCTGCGACTGGCTGGAGCCCCAGCTTCGGACCTTCGCCTTGGCAGTGGAGGAGGATGCCCAGGCCGCTAAGGAGGAATTCAAGGAGCTAGGCCTTCGGTAAGGTCCCTGGGAGTCTGACACCCCCCCCACACACACACACACCGCCACCTGGCCGGCAGCCCCTGGCATGTGGGTCCTGGCAGCCTCAGTTTCCTCAACCGCACAGATACCGGAGAAGCATCAGGATTGGGACGGCCACTGATTTGCAATTCCTGGGTTCTGCTGCCTATGTGCCTACTGAGTGACCTGGGGAAGCCCCTGTCCCTTCTTGTAAGTTCAAAGAGATGGACAGAAGGGTCTCTAAGGTTCCCTCCAGTCGTAGCAGTCTCCCACCCTGGATGGAGCAGGAGGCCAGCTGTGACCTCTCCAAGGAAAGAGCAGGGTAGGACCAAGGAGTGGAAATGCTGGGTCCTGACTGAGCTCCAGGAAGGGTCTTCTGGAACCCACCAGTCTGCCCCGGATCTGAGGGTGGGCATCCCACATCACCTTAAGTACATACCTCAACAGCTGCCTTTGTCTTTGGACCCATCTCCCAAGGCCCCTAGGTAGCACAGTTGGTAAGGTTTCTGGCCCAGAATTGGAAAGAATCATCTTCCTGAGTTCAAATCTGGCCTCAGGGTGTGACCCTGGGCAAGTCACTTCACCCAGTTTGCCTCAGTTCCTCATCTGTCAAATGAGCTGGAGAAGGAAATGGCCAGGGTGGTGGAGGGCCTAGAGACCTCATCATTGTCCAAGGAGCAGTTGAAAAACTGCGGTTAACCTAGAGGAGGTTTGGGGGACACAAAGGGCCACCACACGGAAGAGGCCAGAACCATGGATCAGAAGTCACTGGGACAGATTTTGGTACAATTTAAGGAAAGATGTCCTAGCAATGAGGTGGGGGTGAGCCCCCCTCACCAGTGGTCTGCAAGCAAAGGTTGGATGTTCACTTGTCAGGGATGTTAGGGGACTGCTGTCCAAGTGAGGGTTGGCTGAGAATGGTCTCTGTTACCTTCCACCCCCCACCCCCAGGGACACAGCCTCTCTCTCCACAGGTGGCCTGACGCATTCATAGGCTTAAGCACCATGGGCAAGGACATGTCTGTGAGCAGAATTGAGGCTGCCATTGAGCGGGCCGTGGAGAGCGTCCTGAGCCGGGAGGAGATCTTGCAGGGAGGCCGAGCTGTCACCGTGGAGCTCATGACCCACCCTGGGTACCCCAGTGTCTCACCTACCAGTGGCTGTGGGGAGGGGCCTGACGCCTTCTCCCAGTCCTGGGAGCGGCTGCATGAGCTGCAAACCCTGCTGGACCCCGCCCTCCACAACTCCTACCGGCAGAGAAGCATCAAACTGTGTGCCTTAGAGGACTTATGAGGCTGGGGAGGAGGCCATGCCCTCCATCCAAGCCAGCAAGAGCCTGCACTTCTCCCCTGTCTCCATCACTTGTCCAATGGGAGATCTGGACAAGTCACTTCTGTTCCCTTGGCTGTGAAAGGAAGGGCTCAGTCTCCCTCTCATCTCCCTCTGACGGGCAGCCTGGCTTGGGCCTCAAGGTCCTCACCCCGGAAGACCTCGAAGGCTCCTTCTAGCTCTAGATCCGCCATATCTCCGTGAGCCATTGGGGGCAGGAGGGAGAGACAGACTTGGACTTCAAATGCCTCGATTTGAGTCTTGGCTCTGACAGTGACTAGCTGTTTCACCAGTCTGCCTCAGTTTCGACAGCAAAATGGCGATAACAGCAACTACCTCCCAGGGTTGTTGTGAAGATCAAATGAGATAATATTTGTAAAGAGCCTGGCATACAGTAGGCACTCAATAAGTGTTCTGCCCTTCCCTGTGTGCTAAGAAAGCAATGGGCTCAGAGAGGGAGCCTGCGTATGGAAGGGCTTTGAAGGACAGGATCTGATATTTGATCCTGGAGTTGATAAGTCGCTATGGAGTTTGGGGGAGGGGTGTGCTGACATGGTCATTCTGCACTTTAGGAAGATCATCTTGGCAGCTGAATAGAGAATGGATTGTATTTTTTAAAATAACATTTTTTGAATCAACAAAAATCTACTCTTTCACTCTTTCTCATAAGGGGGGAAAACCCCCAAATCTTTGTAACAAAAATGCAAATTCAATCAGAACAAATGTGCCCATGTGCCATTCCCCAAACTGTATCTCATTCTGTGCCCTGCATGTCATCTGTCAGTGGGTGGGGAGAATGCTGCTTCATCATCAACCATCTGGAAGCGGGCCTGGCCGTGAAGGCAGGGCCTGATGACTGCAGATGACTGCAGTCTGATCTCTGACCCGTAGGTTTCTTTGGAGAATGAGCTAAATCCTGCCACGACTAGTGCTATGAGAGATGAAAATATGGAGCAGGGGTGACTTCCTCCACTGGGGAACTCTCTCAGCCACGGTACTGGGGCAGCTACAAGGAAATTTTAAACAGCAGGCTTGTGAATCCTTAGAATCGTGACTAACGAGGGTGTGGTCTAATGGAGGAGATTCTGAGCAGCGTTAGTGGCAGAGTTCCGGCTGCTGGGAGAACTTCCTCCTCAGCCAATGGCTGGGGAGGGTTTGTTCTTAGAAAGGCGGCTGCATTCATTTGGGTGTAGTCTGTACAACGATCAAAAGAGAGGCTTCTGCACGCTCGGCCCTAGAAAGATGAACTCTCAACAAGCCTGATGGAGGACAGTAAGGAAGGGGGTGACATTTTTCAAAGAGACTGGCCCAGAGGGCCGAATGCTGCTCCCTGGGGGGAAAGAAATGAACCACTCCCAGAAAACCTGAGAGTTAACAAAAAGCGATTTTCTCAGTCCGTAGCAAGGTAAGGACGTTGATGCTGGGGTGGGCAGCTCCCTACCTGGGTTGTCCACAAGCCAGTCTTTCGGTCAAGCAGCAGATCCAGCTTGTGGATTTCTACACCTGGGGAACCAGAAAGCCACATCAAGAATCTCAGCTAACCGTGAGGGCCATTTCAGAAAAAGCTAGCCTAACCTACTTGGGAGTGAGGGGAGGGGAAGGGAGAAGCCCTGAGTTCATTATCCCTTCATGTGGTCCCACGTCATGAAGGCAAAGATGTCTGCTGCCATATTGATAATGTGCTGTTGACTGGGCTAGATGAGGCCACCATGATGGCAGAGGCCCTCATCCAAGACACAAGTGTAGGTCAACCTTTAGAAAATGCAGAGTCTGGTCCCTTCAGCTAAGTTTTGGGGGATACACTGCATTGGAAGAAGCCAAATGATTCCAGATTTAGTCTGTAATAAGCTATTAATAATTGCTTCCAGAGACTAATAAAGAAGCCCTGAGGTTTACTGACCTCAAGTCTTGGAGAACCCATGTTCCTCATCTGAACACTCTGATGGCCTTCTCTTACCAAGTTATTTGCAAGTCGGTATCTTTCAAGGCTATAGCCTTCGAAGACCTCATAGGGGCTCCCCAGCAATACCTCTCCTTGTGTCCCCTTATGATCCTGTGGACGTCCACATTTTTAGAGGTCTGTCCATAGAAACCAGTCTGAGTAGAGCCTTCGGCAGGCAATGAAGGGGTGGTCAGATGAAAGGATACTATACTCGGCACCTCCCAGAGGCATACCAAGTAGAAGCACTGCTAAGTCAGAGTCCCAATATTCCTCTAGTGATACCATTACAGGCTGCACTCTGACATATGCCCAGGGTCCTCACTGCTGGAAGAGGGGGGGTAGTAAAAACTACTCAAGAGACCAAGTCACAGAACATTACTTTGTGTTTATTTTATGAACCAGTGGCCCCAAAACTTGGGGACAGCATCTATGAAAAGGACAGGAATCTGGTTCCAGGTGGCCTTACCTTTTCTTTTTTCTTTTTCTTTTTGGTTTTAGGCAATTAGGGTTAAGCGACTTGCCCAGGGTCACACAGCTAGTTAAGTGTCAAGTGTTTGGTCTGAGGCTGGATTTGAACTCAGGTGCTCCTGACTCCAAGGCTGGTGCTCTATCCACTCCACCACCTAGCTGTCCCAGGCCTTACCTTTTCTCTGTGATTTTCTCCCCACTTACATGAGAGAATAAAAGACTTGGTATTTGAAAACTGAGCAAATCTGAACCCTAGATGTATTTGATATACTTGGTTTATAGTCTGGGCTTGAGAAGTCTCTAATTGTTCTAAAGCATGTCCCCTGGGGCTGAGGATCTCCTGCTAGGGAAGCTAAGAGTCTTCAGCAGCCGAGACTGAGGGACCAAGGCAGGGTAAGCTTAGTGGCCAGTCCCAGACGAACTCGGGCAAGGCTCTTCGGCCTTCTCGGAGCTGGGAAAGGCCTGCACATCTGGGCTTTCTGCTAGGAAGGCGTGGTAGTATTTGAGAAAGGGCCGGTCAAGGATTTCAGCCAGGCTGGAAGTGGGAGACGGCAAAGCTCCCCTACCCAGACAGCAGCATTCAGTGGAGCTCACAGGGCCAGAAAAGCAGTGTCTGGAAGTCGACAACATACGGAGGAAAAGGGCAGCAAACCTCCAGACGCAGGAGATGAGCCTCTTTCTATGCCCGGAGACGTGTTCCCTGGGCAAGACCCTCCAACATGGGCCCAATGGGCAGTTTTCCTACACGTGTGCGCTCCGGCCACGTAGGGTCCTTATATGCCTGCTCTTCTCACGGATGATGCACTTATTGGAGACACACTGGCTGGTTTAGGGAGACATTTGGTTGCTACTTATCTCAGAATGCCTCTCCTTAAATGGCTTTGCTTTGAATTAATTGCATTTTCTGGGTGGCTATTAAAGGCGAGCACATTGGTGGAGGATAGCGAGCTACGTACAGTTAGCCACAGCACTCTGAACCAGGGGTGTGCGTCCCCCTGCAGGGGGAGCCCTTGGGTCCTGATGTTGGATGTACTCATATGGGCAGCTCTTTCCCCATACTAGTTTCCATTTCCCGTTAAAGGCATGAACAGTTCCTTTTCTTGGTTCTGGATCACCAAAGCCTAGCACACAGTAGGTGCTCAGTCAATGCTCTGGGTACTAATGAAGCAGAAGTCTACGTCTGCTCCTCCGCAAGATCTCTGTGCTGACCACTTTCCAAGTACAGGCCGAAGAAGAGCTTAGGTGTCACCTGGTGATGAATGAACCTGGCTGTCAGCCTGGGGTAACTTGGGGACACTCAGAACAAGGGGAGTGCAGACCTGGCCAAGGAAATTCCACACCTTACTGTTTTAAAAAAATGTTTTATTGATGCCCTTCCTCTTTACATGAGTCATTGCAGTATTCACAGCAACCCCCACCCGCCCCGCATCCTGAACCACCTCTCATAATAAAGAACAAGGACCACATCGATGGTGACCGTGGACAAGGTCCACAATGGCCGCCCAAATCTTCCCCCTGCGCCCGGGAGGTCACCAGTGGGGCAGGGCTCAGGGGTCAACCTCCTTTTCACCACCATTTGTCACAGTCACATTGTTCTTTTGGTTCTGCATCAGTTCATACAAGTCTTCTCCCCCTTCTCTGGATTCCTTCTGTTCTTCATCTTTTCTTTTTGCACAAAAACGTTCCATTACGTTCACAGACCACGGCGTACTCAGCCCTTCCCCCATCAATGGGCCCTTTCCCCAGTTTTGTTTGCAGGTCTTTGCTCTCTCACACACACACAGAAAAATGCTGCCATGGCTATTTGAATACTGTTTCTGTCCAGTAGGACTCCTGGGTCAAAGGATATGAGTGCTTGGACCAGTTCACAGCATGACCAGTGACATTTGTGTGACCATCTTCCCATACATCTCCCAACACTGACTCACACCTCATCAAGGAGACAAGCAAAGTTCTCACCAGTGGGAAAACAACAACTTTTTATACCTCTTATATGAAAGGAATTTCACCACAGATCCAGGCAGTGTTTGGGCACACCTTCTACACAAGTATTTCAAAGGCCAGCCTACAGAACAGGGACTAGGCTAGTTATGTTTGACCCAAAGGAAGTGGGGAGGCGGGGAAGGGAGAGGAGACACACAACTGGGCATAACAAGAAGTTATGGAGAGGCAGATTGGTGTGTGACATGAGAAAAAAACTCCCCTCCTTAGAGGTCATTAAGCACTTGGGGATACTGTGAAAGGGACTCTTGGTCAGAAATATTTGAGACTAAAGCACTCAAGCCCCCCAATTCTTAAGTGTGGTGAAGTCTCTTCCCCTCTCAATAGGCTTCCTCATCTGTAAAAGGAAAGGGTTATTTTCAGCTCAAAAGCTCATGAACTTTTTTCCTGATGTCACAGAACCTCTAACATGTATTACATCTTAACAGAGAAACTTTCTGGGAATGGAAAGGGAGAAGCCTTCACCCCCTCATAGATCCTGTCCTTTCTAGCTCCTAGGCTTGACTTTAAAAAAAAGTTTTATTCTTGCTTTAAAAATCAAACCAAACCTTAACAGTCATGCTCTGCTCCCCAAAGACCTCTCCCTTTGTACAACCACCAGAAAGCAGAATTAAGTAGAGCCAAGTGACCCACTGACCGTGGCTGGCAAAGCATGCGTCACATATTCTGCCACGTCTCTGCTGAGAGGAAGGAGCCGCTTCCTCACGGCTCTACCAAAGTCACATCTGGGGCGCTCCATGGCTCAGAGCTCTCCTGTCTCTGGGCGCTGTCTTCCTGTAAGTTACCTGGGGTCCCTAATTAAGCCCTTCTCATCTCCTTCCCTCTGCAGCCCCGGACCAAAGTCTTTAAATGTCTCTGCACGTCTGCCATTTCTCTGGGCACAATAATCGACGTTATCTATTACTAGACCACAGGGTTTTC